TTGTTACCATGGTATTGCGATTGTATTGAGCTAGTAGTCAACGAAACTACCTGCTATAATATGTTTGTTTGGTGCTAGGGTTCAGACCTTGGAGCTGTGGGTCCGGTCGCAGATTAAGAACAGCCAATTAAATTCACATTATCGGATTGTCGAGTCCAGTGCATCTTATGTGTATCACTCCATGGAAATAAAAGAACAAACGCTGAAGTAGTGAATTCAGTTGGACAGTCTCCATTTTCACCTAATTAGCATTCCACCCTGCAGTCATTTCAATAATAAAAAGCTTGAGTAAAATCTCTACGGGAAGGTTAGGAGTGAATAAGTTGTGAAAACTAAGAAGTTAATTTTTTCATAAATTATTTTTTTTAATTGAACCCATCCGTTTTCAAAGAACAGTTCACTTAGATTCGGCATGAGGTAGTGAGGGGAGAGTTATGGAAATAAGGGAAGAGTTTATTGGTTTACAAAACAAAAGAAATCACCTAATATATCAATAGTTATATATTCCAAAACGCCAAGCTAAATCAAGTATGATTGTTGATGACATTTGAAAGTAGGTTTATTATGACAAGTACTTGATAAAGACCTCAAATGCAACTACATTCAACCATGAATACCAGTAATTCAGTATGTTCCTAAATTTTATCGCAGTAACCGAACAATAGACACAATTGGTTGGTGTCGGATACCAAAAGCTACCCAAAACACTTTGATTCATATGGTGCAAGCCATGCAAAAACGAAATCAACCGTTTGCCTATTCACAGACGAAACATGTCTCTACCTGTTCGTCGATGGATTTAAACTGAGCTAGAATGTCTGCAAAGTCACGTAGATCAGGCACTTAAATATTTCCATTCGGATGAAAGTTAATAGTCAAGCTCAAATAGTTCGCATTCATTTTGGGCTCCTTGTGTTGGGAAGCGCTTGGCACTGTTGGAGTAATTCAGATCCAGTTATAGATCAGTTCCATCCATATCTATGGGTGTAGAAACCCATTGGATCTAAAGTAAGAATTCTTGTTATGAGTGAGTGAAACGAAATATCTAAAGTGCACCAAATAAATTTGCATACTCCGCCCCCAGTCAAGTTATTGATCGGTTCAGGTCAACTTTCTTATGCACTGCAGTCTGCGTTTCTGATTCCGTCTGGTGCATCGCCGCCACCTCCGCCCCCGCTGTCCTACCTTTCACTTTGTAATATTTTGTGACAGTTTATGATTAGGCGAAAACATATTTTGAATATTAGTCGCACACTGATTGAATATCACAGAAAAAGAAGTGAAAGATTAATAAAACATTCTAATCACAAACTACTTTCCATTCGTTGAACTTACTTTTTCTTTTTTCTTCGAAAGTCTTTCACATCGTTTGAAGGAAGCCAAATCCGTGTCTGCGGTGTCCGTCGACCCAGACTGGGATGTCAACCGCTTTTTATGTGTCGTTTCTGTGCTCGGAGTGCGCAGTTTATTGGAATCAACAGTTTTATCGCTTGCTTGATAAGATGTCTCTTCTGATAATTTAGCCAGTGGTTTTTTAACCGCTTCCTCCGATGTCTTTATCATACTGACGGAAGACTGACTTGTTGTAGTCGTTGTTGTTGTTGCCGTTGTTGTTGAACACGTGTGTTTTGAGTTTCTAGCGTTTGCTGTCGATGTTGTTGCGCCTACTGTGCTGATGATAGGAGCACTGTCTTTTCTCAGTCTGGGCTCTTTTTCAGTATGCCTAATGTCTCGCTCGGTGGGTTCATGGTCCACGTATGATGGCATAGGCGATGGTGTGAGTCGACCATTCAGCTGAGACTGTAGATTGTTCTGTTTTTCCACTGCAGCTCGAAGTTCCAAAATGGCGGTTAATAGTCGGTTCTTCTGTGAATTACCAGTTGGTTCAGCGTCAAAGAGTTCCACCGTCCGAGCTCCACCCTCCAGTTCTTCCAATGTGTCTGAACTGGTTTCGTTGTAGTAATCACTACCATAGTCTGCCTCTTCACCGGATCTCTCATTGTTATCCCCTAAGTCAATCACATGAGATCCCCGACGGGCAATTATGTCTTGCAGGAAAAGTTTGTTGAAATTCATGGCCATGTTCTGGCTATCATCTCAGCATCGTTTGCCCTTTCGAATAATCTTGGTTGATAGATTATGTGAACACTCAAACGAACTACTGCGCACGAGTTTTGTGCCGTCTTTTTTTGAATTGCCCGCCTCAGTCATACGTGTTCATGTGTGTGCCCGCGCGTGTCAGCCTACTTGGGTGCGTGCGCAACCCTGTTGGTGCAAAGGATTGACCGCCATTGTGATTGGCCAAATCAGACGAACCAATAATGTTCGTCTCACTATCTCTCCAAGGTCAGTCATATGCTAGTGTGTTAGAACGGACCTTAAAGAGGCATGCATCTGTGCGCCCGTATCTCCGTTGATGTTTGAACCATATACCAAGTTGACCGGTAGGAACATAATAGCGCCGTGCTGTTCCGAACGGGTCGTTCAGGCAACAGCAATGGGTAAAATGTTAACCTTTCTAGCAAAAAGTTTTACTTGAAAGANTGATATCAGAGAACCCTTTTCTAGCTCGGTTACTTATCCCCCTGCTTAGATATTCAACTTCAGTGTACTGGTGCTTATTATCTATTACGGATATCCTGTAATCTGGTTAGAAGTCGATTTAACATATTATATCATCGATCAGATAACGAAGCTGTACATTCTTCAGGAAATGTCAGGTTCGTTACTTTTCCTCCTTATAATCTCACATAGAGATTTTTGATTCTCATTGTTTTAGCACTTCTCGAAGTCGTCACATCTCCGCATGTATTGACCTTCCACGGTAGTGCCCAACTAGATAATACCACTGTGTGGAGTTTTGTTTTGCATTGGATAAGTGGATATTGACAATAACCCTAAGGAAGCTTCGTTCTGTAGACAGTTTCATAGTTTATAGGTTTCATTTGAAATGTAACTGCTATATTTTTTCACAGACTCTGAGTAATTAAAATGCCGAGAATTAACATATCAACACAAATTTCCAAATCAAGAGCAAACCATATCTACCGGTAGAACAGGCCGAATCAATGTTCGTTTGTTTTTTTCATTTCGTTAAAAATGATCTATGCGCATTATTAGCTCGATGAAAAAAAAATTTTTTTGTTTACAGTCCTTCGACCGATAATGAAAAAAACATTATCATTGATCAACAGAAAATACTCAAACAGACAGCTACGGTGCAACAGGGTTATGATCATTGAAAATGGTCGTAGTTTATTTGTGACCTCAGCCGTTTTCTTGCGTGCATTTTGCCACTTCCAAACATACCATTCAATTGGATACCTTGGTCTCTTTTATGGAAGTTATTTTGGTAGTGTCATTTATAGTTTTCACTTTTTGTGAACCCCTTTTTGTAATGCAAAGAACATTTTGTTTCCTGGATCATTACTTTTCGAATTGCCTCAAAAAGCCTCACTGGGGTAGATGTGGGTGTCTTGGGTTGTTTCTGGTCACCCTGCTTAACCTGCACCTCATGAAATGCTCCTATCAGACCAAGCCTCTCAAACAGCTTCTACTGAGGAATTCCTGCTCACTCCTCTCGCGCGGCGAGATTTAATTCTCGAATCTGTCCGTAAGAAATAATAGAATAATTTAAACAACTACCCTGAAGATTTTTCGTTGAAACCCTAATCATTGAAAAGAGCTTCACTACGACCTCCTAGTCCTTCTTTTGCTGCTTCCTAGTCTCTCGGATCACGTGATTCCCCCTTGGAATGTGTATAGTACAGACGTCAACTTACAGTTATTGGAAGAGGAATAACACCAACCAGAAATAAACTGTTTCCTTAAAGTGTAAATATGGGTAGACTTGTGTTTCGTAATTGGCATATATATTCCTGTTCTACGCTGTTAATTCCCTCATGAACACCGGTTACATGGTCACCCAACTGTGATTTGAAATTTGGTTTTCACTCGAGATTACCACACAACCCGCATGCACATTACTTGTCATTGTTGGTTCTCGCAAATCATAACAAACTAACAGTTTCATATATGTGCAGTAAATTCATAACATTGTTCAAGCCAAATGACACCACCGCTGTTTTGTTAATTCAGTACTCACTGACGTGAAATGACAGTGATTATGGCGCTTCCAAATAAAGTGCAGGAGATACTGGGATAGCATAGACGAAAATGGCGAAGGGATATGGTCCGAATTTGTTAACCTATATACCAGCAAGGGGTTAAAGTGTTACAGACCTTTTGTGGATAATTACAGTAGTTGCAATAAACAACGGTGATAATAAACGCTTATTGCGGTGGGATGTCAGATAAACAGAAATAAATGTCAGATCATCAAATCCTAAACACATGTTTGAAAGAATCCGTACTAACTGAAAACATCTTACAAATGCACACTGGTAAATCTCCACAAGTAGGCAATAGCAATAGATGTACTTCTACCATTAGGTGACGACCTGCGCTGCCAGGTTCGACCAGGGCTGTTTGCTGGTCGGCCACAGTACAACATTACCTGAGCTTGTCTTTTTCACCCATGCCCTCTTATTAGCGCCCTGTCTTCTCTCCTCTGATCACTTATTTTCTATCTTGATCTGCATGCCTCACGTAGTGCTGCGCGAAGCTGAACTATCGACAGAGCGCACTAGTGACTGCACTTAATCAAATTTGATCTGTACCGGCTTCTGCGAACCTATGAACCTCTTGTCGATTGTATTTGCCTGCAACCTGGCATGTCGCAAGTGTTCGTAGAGGCTTATTATTCCGTGCTTAAAATATCTAAAACTTAAAAGGATTGACGCAGCTCAAGTATGCTCATCGTTTGTCGTTTACACTTGTGATAACGAATTGTTTAACTTTCATATTAGTCCAGAATAAGTGGATGGAAAACTACTATAAAATTTGCTGCTCCTGAATGCAGGCATAAGCATAATTCTATGCATAAGATTTCACCAATCGGACAATGAGACTTACTGGCTTTCTGTAGATGATATATTTCAATAAATAATGGCAAATATGTAGCATCCCGAAACCCAACACTACCCCAATTCAAATCACCTGTCATTTCTTTTCTCTTACTTGGAATGCATACGCATACACAATAATACTATTTAATGTTACAAAACCGATAGAACCGGCGCCCTAGTTAGTTTTCACATCCATAATCATCATAGCAAACCACCTCTAACTGTTGATTGTCGAGGAAGTTCATAGATCACGTGCAAGACCGGTGAATTCTCTGTCAACATGGAAAGCACATCACCGTACAGTCACCCTGAATGGACTTCGAGTTGCTCCCATAGAGTGACGAAAGCATTTCCGTTTAAAAAATCCCTGTCCATCTGCTTTTTGGAGTCTGAATCCGTTAGATTATATGAGACTTTTTGTAAAAGCAGTTGGTTATTCAAATCATGAAGTTTCAGCTGGTAGCGGTGCCAATGGTCAACAGGTGAACAGATATTGTCATCGACCCTGACCATATATAATGTTATGGTTGTCTCCCCTGTCACGTAGTTTAGTTCAGGATCCATGCGAACGGATCTGATGACCAGACGGTCTTTGTTCTTCCTTTGAGCGATCCAGGAAGGTACCATCAACAGACACAGGATGAATTCTAACGTTATAACAACGAACGAAAGACAGACTATGCATTCAGGTCATATTTCCACTGTCTGTATTTCCCCAAGCAGCCTCTGTATGGCTACAGCCCGTTTTCTTAAATATATTGAAAAGTTTATAATATATATTGAGAGAAATAAAACCTTTAAAAAAGCCAATCAGAGACGTCGTGTATTAAGCTCCATGCATCTCCATTTTTTTTCAATGTCCCTCGTTTTTTATTAGTGGATCGCAAACGTTTTGCGCATAAATCAGCATACTAAAAACAAACGTGTCTCAGTGATAGACTTAAAATATGCTAGACACTTATTGGAAAACGTTCCGTGGAGGGAATAATATTACTGTTTAGTTGGTACTACCACAAATTACATGTGTTCGATAGTGACACTACGGCTAATAATCCATCTTCGTCCAACGTACCCCGCTTTAAATTTAGTCTTAAGTTGAAAATATCACTTAGTCCTCAAAATGCCAACACTAAACAGATAATTACCGAAAACTACTTGAGTAATTTTCAACTATTGTTGCATCTTTAATGGTTTGCATCTAATTTTGGGACAGATTTGAATTCAAAACGGTGATGATATCTTATCCTGTGTGCATCGCGTTTTCTTAAGGCATACATTTTGAGCGCATCATCATGATTTTTCCGTTATGTGGTTACATCTGAAGCCGAATGCCGACAAACCTGACCGTGTGATCGCAAAATCGTTCACATCGAGAGCTACCTAACTAATCGGGTTCATGAGGGTTGAAGGACCCCGATCGATCTTGCCCATGTTCTTGGAAGTTTCTCTTGCCCTTTAGAAATGACAGACTGTGTCATTCACATCATATGCCTCATATTGCAAAAAGGATTGTTTGGGTAAGTGGAACATTAACTCCTATTCTTTTTTATGAACAATTAGAGGTGCATGCAACTGAAGCGCAATTTGGCTATTTGGTTGTATTTGTCAATCATATATCAGTTCGGGAAGAGAAATAAGCCCCTCTTTCTACAAAAATGAATAAACCGAACATCTGCTAATAAACAGTCAATCAAAGGTAGGAATAAACCGGTGGATAATTTTTGTTTTTTTTCGTAAATTTTGTGTTCTTTCAATGGGAGTAGTATATCGCAGGGAATTGAAAGAATTCAAATTAAAACTGTAAGCTGGTCAGAGAATGATATTTTGAAGGTTTTAAATGATTTACTATTCACAGATACGTTAATGAATGTCAATGGTGCCTGAGTGGTTCAATTTCCTGTCGAGAGGGTACATATCAAAAACGAAGTTACAATGTTGAACATGCAAACCCTCTCATTAAGCTCTGGTGCTGAGCCACTTCGATGTCGTCTGGCTCCTTCCCGTGTCCATCTAACTAGGGCCTTATCTTGTTCACATCTTTGAGTTCAATGGTTTGTGTTAACGGTTTATAGAAAAAAGTACTATGGGACTAACTTCATTAACCGCTCACAACAT